AAATTTTAGTAATTAACACGAGATTAAGCGAGATGCGTATATAACAATATATCTACTTATAAACGTTTCTCTTTGACATTTTCATGCCCGTGTTTCAAGCTTAAAAAACTAAAAACAAACGTGGATCGATCAAGTTAAGTCAAATAAGTTAGACGGTAAATTTCACTCTATCGTAGTTTATTTTGTACCATAAGTTAACAACTTATAAATTACATAAATAATTAATAAAAAAACCCCTCGTTCTTATTCTATTCGAGACTTGTCAAAAGTGCCACCCATAGAATCCACTTCCCCCAGCATATGCCGCATCCACGCTATCTGCGAAGCATCAGCACCCAGAAGCCTTCATATTTTACATAGAATGCGCAGCACTGTCAATACAAGCGACCGCTCAGTCTCAATCACTCAAGTCTGTATCGATTGAACGTTTGCAAATAGCAGCAGATAACATTCCTGACTGGACGATAGATGGACGATTCTTTAACGACCTCCTAATCAGATGACTGGCTCGAATGTCTAATTTGTTTCAACCCCATTCTCCCACAGCTGGGCAACAGTCTCCTCTTTCTAAGGAGAGACTCTCTCACATCAGAGACATGTGTGTGATGACACCTTCTATCCAAACCCAGGGATGTGGGTAAAATCGATATATAATTTTTTCAAATTTGATATTTTGACTCGGTTTTATCAACCGTCATTAATTGTTTATTGAAATCCAATGTTGTTGTGCAAATCTTTTGCTAAAAACGGTAATATTCCTAGATATAAACATGGATAAACATACTGTCGGTGAATTTGGAGATTGAATTCTACAATTCCCAGAATACATATAAGGGACCATTAATTGACCTAAACCAATAAAGACGACAACGCCGGACACGTGTACCCTTTCAAAAAGCAAGTCCACATTTTAAATATTTCTTTGGGCAGCCGAAACGAAGTTTTTAATTGTTGTTTTTTTCGTTGAAATTCCGTTTTTTGTGAGCGATTCGGCGAGCAGTTGTCATTGTGTTCGTGCTGGTTTTGATAACCTTTTTTTCTCGACGTCCATTTATTTGTATATGGAGTTTTTTAAATGCGATGCTTAATCAAACTTCTTGTTTGTTATCGATTGGGTTAGATTAATGGTGAGATAACATCTTTATATATATTAAAAATCTATTTAGATTGTACGATATCAAGGATATAATGTGTAAAAATAATATTTCAAGATGACATCTACATAAATTCAAATACTCGCAAATAAAAATCTTATAAGTGTTTAAACTTATGTAAAGTCAGTTATACGTAAAATTTAACGACTTTGGGCGTTATATTTAAGTTAGTGAATTTAAACCACGACCAGACATGGTGCTCTTTAGTCACGGCCACGAATAAACATATCTATTACCTATCTGAAACATTTTTTTCGGGCTCATCGGTCTAATGGTAAAAATGTAGGGCTAAACAAGGGTACCTGGATTCGATTCCTATCGTTCAACACATGTTTCTATTTTATAAGTTTTCAGAAACATACAGACTTTTATAAAAAATCTCTAGGTATATTAAATTTGTATGATTATCGAAATTCGGCTAAGAAGTAGAAAATCATCATTTCGGTTACAGTATATAAGTCGACAGCACATCTTGTTCAACCGAGCCCCATGCTTATCAATCCTCTGTCTAAATAAAACACTTTAACGGTTTAAAACGCGATATATATTAGTTATCCTTATTTTAAAAAAATTACTAATATGTATATATCAAATTTAAAACCGATAAAGTCTTTTATTTAAACGTGTACTAAACATAAACTATTTGATCCTCTGTCTTTAAAATAAGTTTTGTTGTCTGTACTCTAAGCGTTCTTTAATACCTCATAATCATCAATATCGTCAATATCAGATAGCGGGAAGATCGCCAGTCATCCCTCAGACATTCATCATATCGACTGCACCCCAACGCTAATGTTAGTTTTCATAATGTTTCATTAAATTGCAGCGCGGACGTGTCCGTCCATTAACTAATATAACAAAAATCATACCAAATCACGCCGAATTATCTGTTTTTACCCTTGTAGTGTGCGCGATAAACCTAATATATATATATATATATATATATATATATATATATATATTATATAGATACAATTCACTTTTTGAAGTTTGTTTCCTAAGTTGCTCTACTTACCCTTATTATTATCATTTATTATTCTAAATCTCCATCTTCTAAGTTGTCTGGAAGAAATCGCTTTTTAGCGATAAGGCCGCCGTTTCTCGCTACATTTTGTTTTTTGTTACAAACATTGTGGTAGCAATAAAATATTTTTTGTTTGTTTAATAAATGTCGAAAATAAAAACGGGTCGACATCGCATCTTCTCTCACGAGCCTGCTGTCATATTATTATGCTGAAATATTATTGCAGGACAATATAAATGTTTGTGAAAACATTAACATAATAATAAATAAAAATAATAACTTAAATATCCATTTTAAATTTTTTATTTTTTTTGTAGTAACTTGACTTAAACATTTAATTGTTTTATGATAGAGAAGGGCATACAGGCCTGGAGTTCAATTGATGGTATCTGAGACACCCCAGCCGTATATTATCTAAAGGAGAACAAGTGAACCTATCTTGGCTTTGGATATTCGGAAATCCACAGACTAAAAACAAAACGCGATTGACCTTGACAGCGTTTTCATATACGGACATTCCTACCGCCCATTCAATATCCTGATGTCCAGAAGTCCAACATGTATTAGATAAATGCACCGTGATTAGAAAAAATGTTGGACCCGGTGGGGATAAACCCGCGACCCGTTGATTAGTCACACCAACGAGCCCGTCAAATACTAGCGAATTAAGTAAATAAGTTTTAAACAATATTACCTTCGTTTCCATGTCTACAATTTATCACCTTCGCTTTAAATAAGTAAAGCCTCAGCTTAAGTTAAGTTTTATCCATTTAAGTAGGTAAAGAGCTTAAAAACCGATAATTCTCTTATTCCGACACTTGACTTCTGTGAGCTATAATATTGTTTGTACTATTCGCAAAGACATTATACAATAACTTGGTGGCTGATGTGGGGAGTAGTTGGGGGGTTGGGTCCTCTAATCAAGCTGAAATAAATGAGCATAAAAGTAGAGCATACAAGTAAGCAACTAGCTTAACAATTAATGAAGTTAGGTCTCATTCTAGAATTAACCCCATATCAGGAAATAAACATCCTAGATATATTAGCAACAGAAGGACGGATCACCCGGCCGGTGTCCCCGATAGAAAATAATATATAAGAAACAAATTAATATATATTTAGCGTAGGTACTTAAGGAATTTTAAAGGCTAACCGTAAACTCGATCCAGAAGAAAACATAAAACATTTTATCTCTCCGTCCGTTGATTTATCTCTCATTCATAATTTGTGTCTGTACATCGCGGGATTTAATAACCTGATAGCCAACGCTTAGACCGAAGTAAAACTGTAAGCATTTGAGTAACGAACATAAAACACACATTAAGACGCCTTTCAGTTACACCACAGACTGACACGAACAGTTGGCTAAGAACGCAAATTGTTGTAACTTATATATTAGCTTTAAATTATTTATTTAACTACGGTTCGACGTTTACGGATACTTTGCGGCAGCCATTGGCACGGGGAGACAATTTGACAGATAATTTCCAAAAAGTTTAATATATATCACGTTTTAAACCGTTCTACTGTTTTATTTAAATGTGTACTACTCGCGTAAACTATGTCTGTAGTATTGAGAATGTTACCTTTTCATCTTAAATTAATTGTTAATCAGGTATTGCTTATGAGCTGTAAATATCTAATGCTTATAAACATATCGCTTGAGAGGTGCATGTATATATGACACGGTATCTCCTTGGCTAGAGCAGCAACACACAACGCCATGGATGCCAGTTCAAGGCCCGCCTGTGTCTTCGATTTTTGCAATCTAAATGGGTTTTTAATTTATATCGATGTGTTGCGGCCATCATAGGTTGCTTTGAGAAGTGATTTGCTCCCGATTGGTACAACTGCTGATTTCAGCCTGTGGCACAAATCTTTTATCCCTAATCTAGTTATTTTAACGTGCAGATTCGGTTTATTGACTGCCGTCGTAACATGTTTCATTGCTATAAATCGTTATTAGGCTAACATTATTTTATTGGCGCTATTTCAGTTAGCATAAAAACGTAATAAAATATTACTCATCATGAGATGATTTTAAAAATTTAATAGCAATATAAAATTTATTAGAGCGCTTCGTCTTGCAAATGGATAAAATTAGAGCAATCTCAATTCTGTTTATTTGTTTTAACTTACAATTACTACGTATATGTTTTACGTATTATTGAACACGCATGTTTTTGCTGTCTTGGGTTTAGTAAAATTAGACTTAGAAGCTTAGATTAACTCCCATAGAGCTAAAGTCAAAGTAAAAAAAACATTCATTCATGTAAGTAATTAAGTACTGACACCTAAGAATGTCACAAAACTAAATAACTCAAAATTTATATTTTTAATTGTATAGTCAGAGTACTATTATAAATGAATAGTACAAAGTCACCATCGAACCCCTTGTGCAATTTTTTGTAACTTATATGTTACCTTTAAATTATTTATTTAACTGAGACAATTTGACAGATAATTCCCAAATAAGTTTAATATATATCACGTTTTAAACCGTTCTACTGTTTTATCATCCGATTTTCTACAAAAAATGTATTTACACTTGTATTATAAGTATCGTTATTTCTGTGTACTGTGAGCTAAAAATCTGTGAAATAAAAATAAAGATTTTTAGCTCTATTTTAAGCACTTATTCGACTGGATTAGTCCAAAGTTGACATAATTTCCTTCATTCTGCTATACGTGTGTTTTGACATACCTACGTAACATAAGATTTGAGTTGAACCGACGTTATCAATCCGGGTCAACGACCCTTCAAACCTCCAGCAAAGTAAACACTTAATTAACATCGCCAAGTAACAATCTCGGAACACTTATCAAACGTCCATAATAATTTGAGACGCGTTGTTATGGCGAGGTGCAAAAGTGGCTGACCCAACATCACGCCGTGACCCTACGTGCGTTCCTCTCGCACCTATCGCTCCGTCCCGCTCGCCCATCACGCCCCCACTTTTCATAATCATCTCTTTAGTCACATAAGGCCTTAAAATTAATGAACCTTAAATCATAAGTGGTAAATACTAGATTGGTTTGTCCGCTCAATCGCAGTCATCTATTGTCAAGTCCTCTAACTCTATAAACAACCTTTTATTTTCACTTAGTGCCGAGGCGCGCTCGAGGAATTTCTCTATTCTTATCGGGTGGTCGCTGGTAACGAGAGTACAAAGGTTGTTGTGAGGTGCCATGCCGTGTCAACGACGGACGGACGGACGAACTTTCATGTCATGATTGTTTCTTTTTTATCAGCTACAGATCTCTTTTATTGTTCACCATTTGATCCAGTTACAATTGATTTGGCTGGTTTAGGAGATGCCTTCTACGATTGCTATTTCGATTGTTTTTCCCACAGTCATTATCGTAATGCTGTTCCTTATAGATATATATCGCGTACTCGACTAACGTTAATTGACCCCCTATGAATAAAAGCATGGAAATATTTGAAACAATACTATTTACATACACGTGACGTTGTAAATAAGAAATCAATTTTAAATTGAAAATTATTGTGACACGGATTGAATTGAGTATGTAACTGGAACTCTGTGTTCGTGGATTCGAGTCCAACCCTCGTCATCGAATGTGCAATAAAAAAATATATACCATTCATTTTAATCTTACTAAGAATCATACAATTAATTAAAAGAAATAATAAAATCAGTTGTTTACGCGAGTAGTATACATTTAATTAAAACACTGTAACGGTTTAAAACTAAATATATTAAGTCTCCCTGCGACCATGGCTGCTACAAAGCATCTAAAACGTAGCTAAAATAAAATTTAGTTAGGTCAAAAGCATTAAACACCCTAAATATGATGAATGATTACTAAAAACACTAAAAGTTTATTTTTAACTAACTACCCACCTACCAGATACAACATCATCGTGTGATAACGTAGAACACCATTAAAATATCATATTGGCTACGCAATGCACTTTGTCATTTCATATTTTTTACGCTCTACAACAAATTAATTGCATTCTTCTGTAAATAAGTTCTCCTTTGTTTAATAGCGAGTTCAGAATGCGTCCATAATTTGTAATGAGTTGTGATCGTGAGATGTTTTCTACGCCTCGGCTCTTAATAGTTCGCCTCGTTATTCCGTTCCCATCGAGACTTATTTGCTCCATCTAATTATCCACACTGTACACATAGTGCTGCGTAGATTCAGTTTTCCATACGTGGGGCATGGGGCATATGCCTGATTCATTGTATTTACTATGAACTGTACCCGCGACTTCGTTCCCCAAAGATGTTATAATGAATAAATATTCCCAATATTCCCAATTTTTTCAACAATTCCTTCTGTTTTTTCGCTCGTATTGCATAATGATGTGTTATAGCCCATAAATGCTCTAATTAACACAAAAATAATTTTTCAATTCGAACCCGTACTTCCTGAGATTAGCGCGTTCAAACAAACAAAGAAACAAACTCTTCAGCTTTATATATTAGCATAGATTATTTATCCAATCGTATTATCAGCCGAATAGCTGATCTTGCTTGTTTAGAAGAATCAGAGTATCTCGCAATAACGCGTTGCTAAGCAACGAATAAAGCCATGGAGACGGTCCATACAACCTGCTCAAGTCATAGTTATTAGTATTTTAAAATTGAAGTGAATTACTTGTGCTCTAGCAGTTTCAGAAGTTTTTGACCCTCAAATGTAAAACCGGTACAATCCAACGAACCGATGTTTGTCGTGGCAATTAAAAAAAACAGACGAGAACCATTAAGAAGTGCACGAAGTGGAAATTAAGTGCAATTAGACGCACGAGTCGGAACCCGGGAATGCTGTAAAAAGGCCGGAATGCGCTCGCGACCGTCTCCGCTACGTGTCGATCAGCGCATACCGGCGATTCTTCCTCTTAATCTTCGTAATAGAGATTTTCTGCTACATCTCCATTAGACGTCTATAAAGATACCATCACTATTTACCTTCGAGTATGCTTAACATCTCACTAAGTGTCATTACTGGGTATGCTTAACACCTCACTAATTAATTTTACACATGATAGCGTTATATAAAAATCGATTTTAGATTGAAAAAAATGTATGTGTTATATCACTTGGATAGAGCAACAGCACCGGTTGCCGGTTCAAGTCTTGACCGTGTCGTAAATTCTTTTTAATCTAAAATTTTCACTTATCTCATATGTCTGTTATGAAAATAAGGCACTATACACAGTTAAAATTAACTAAGTTTTGTAAATTAATGTTTATTTCGAATTGAAAAAGATGGCGCCTATTTTACCTTAATATTCCTCAAATACCATTAAACAAAATAAGCCCTTAAATGAAAAGCAATTCGTAAAATGTATAATCCTCTTACCAAGTATATATTATAAGTGCTTATGTGTGATGATATTTCTTACTCTTAAACTAAGATATAGAATCTTAGCATTGTAATATTAGTTTATTAAATTCTTACCTTTAAAAATGTAATTTGACTAATTTAATTTCGATTATAATAATAAAATTTAATGTGCTATTATTTTATTTTTACAGGTACGTATCGAACGCTCCACATAATAGTAAGTACACGTTTGACGTTTCGTCGCATTAGGTAATTCTAGATGGTCATGGTCAAAATTTACAACTTCACTAAAATATTTAAGTAATAATATTGTGCAAGTAATAAAAACGTACCTTAAACACAAAAGTGGGTTTGAAAGAAGAGTTAATGACACTAATAAAGAAAACAATACGCAAAGGCACACTTCTCGATTGTGTCGAGATATTGTTCTGAACACAGAATACTGAATAAACCAGAAGGAGATTTCCTGAACAGTTGCACGCAACGCGCTATTTACAGTTGAATTAGAATATTAATTATTAATTTTGAGCATAAAAAACTGTTAAACAATGTCATTTATTTTTTTTGACAGAGGAAGACAGACAAGCTTGGTGGTAGGTGAAATACCTAACTATATAACATTTGAAGATATACTGTCGACTTATGTTAGCTTTTAACATTCGGAAAACCACAGACTAAAACCGACAAAGATTAAATTTTTCAGCTTTTACATTTGATAATTTTGATATTCCTCCACATTCAGATTTCCAGACCAATATATTTCCGAAACATTAAAAACCAATTTGCAAATTTTGGCCCCGGTGAACGAACCCCCGACCTTTTGATTATTACACATACATTGCTATTTGCTAACACACTAACAAACCAGACTTTTTTTAAACTACTCTAATTGAGCGTCGTTGTAAAAGCTTCACGTCAAAGCACGTTGGTCGCTTCTGGTTTATTCAATGTTCTGTGCTTCTGGGAGCCCACTGGTGAAGCATAGCCCATAACTGATATAACTGTTAATTATACAGCAGACACTCTGCGGTATTTTGAGCACTTTGTCTCGAGTTATTTATGAGGGAGCGCGTGGTCAACCGCGTAAGCGTAGATTGCCATTTTCATAGCCATCGACTTCACTGAAAACTAATTTATGCGCAAAAAACACCGGCCCGACATCCGACGATGATATGAATGAGGTTTAAAATTGAAGCATCAACTATTTAAATTGACCTGAATCTTTTAAGAACTAGCAAACATGAAACAAGTGACAAAAATAATTTTAATATAATGAAACAAAACACTAATAAGATAATTCTGGTAAAAACGTGATCGTTGATTCGATAGCAAAGTGCATCGTGAGTTCGATCCCCACGGGGTCCAAGATTTTTCTAATCAATTTATAATTTTTCTCATAAATTTAGGATTTCATCTGGAGACTTTATCTTGTGCATAAATGAAAAAGGCGTGAAGTTAATCGCCTTTCGGTTTTACTCTGTGGATATCCGAATATCCAATGTCAAAATAGATAGAGAGTCCTCCTCTATCTTAAATAAAGTTTGTGCGAATCTGCACTGCCTGTGTAACTGTAAATATGATTACGATAATATCTCCTATGCGTACTGAAAATTAGCTTATCTACCCAAAAACCGAGTGTCACGATCGATTTGAATCCCGTCAATTAACTGCCCTTAAAAGACATAAACCGTCCGCTCAACAATGGACTCGACATAAAATATTAATAGAAATGCACGTGTGCTCATTGTCGATAAATTACCCAAGTGACAGAGCAATAAAAAAGTGTATTTCTTGCGGAGTGAATGGGAGGCTTCGAGGTAGCCAATAAAAGTGGCTGGCGGTCGATCATAAACTTCCGACGCGCCGTAGACAGCGTGGCGGAGAGCCGGCTACTTGCAACTCTAAAAATCACACGCTATACCTCCGCAGCAATTCCCCGCGTTCTTTTTAGGATCTCCAAAACGAGCTGCAGCATCCTAAACAAATTCCTTCGCCTTACGATCCATTGTTTTCGTTCAGCAGCAGTAGCCCAATCGAATCGCCAAGTTTTTACGAAATTGTCTTACATTCTGGGCTCAAGATAAAAATCAAATAAAACACTTTCAACGGTTCAAAACGCGTAATATTTTGGACTGGCTCATTGGCGTAATGGTAATGTGAGCTAATAAACAACGCGTGGGTATATCCCCAACTGGTCTAACATCTTTCAAATCAATTTATGATTTCCTGTAATATATTGGACTTCGTCTAAAAATTTAGATATTAAATGTAGGAATGTCGAAATTTCGTTCTGGTTACGACCTTCCGTCCAGATGGAAAAACTGTAATACCCTAACATCCAAAGCCAGAGTAGGTCGCATCTTGTTTAGATGTTATGCGACCCATAAAGTGAACAGCCAGGCTTATCTGCCCTCATAAGATATATTTCTACATCTTATGTAACTTATATAATTAAACTTTATTTCTCGTCTACTCAAAATAAATCAGTCTAAACCAGCCACTTAAATCTGTTACGAAATCTCCTGTTAAACAAAGGACATTACATATTAATACGCAATCGCCTAGATTCACTTCATTATACATCTCCCACCCATTACCATGGATAATCTGCAACACAAAATATACTAGAAGCGTCCGCAGTCAACAGCGAGCCCAATACAGTCCCCAACGTAATACAATAACGGGCATGAATCTTGCATGAGTCACGTGTACCGAGAGGTTTTTTCCAGAGCCAAGTGCATTGAAAAGGTCAGGGGACTTAAATTAAATTAGACTGTATAAATAATTCGTAGACCCGACAGTGGATGGACGGCTTGACGCGGCGATATGATCGGTGACCCGCGGGCTGAGCCTCACCTCGCTATCTCCA